CGTTAAAACCTATTTGGCAGTCTCATCAATTTTATATAGAAAATTCTTCAATGTGAGTACTTCCACGCCAACTGACGAATCGATTTTATTTTTCCCTCTCATAATTCCATGAAACTTTGCATAATTGTTTATTAGGGCAATGAACCATGTTTGTGCTGGAATTCAACCATTTTGATACACGCCTAATGTTTAAAAATAACGTAGTTGATATTTTTCAATAAATCATAGCGCGAAAACGGCTCATCTTATCATAATGACGTCTGAGACTAAATCACAAATTTCGTCAATACGGAGAAAAATAACTGTTGAAAACTTACATTGTTACATTGGTTTACTCCCACGCTCCTCCAAAATAAAACAATTACTATGGTAGCAATTAGAATAAGAACGTTTCAGAGTTTCTACTCCGGGACAGGGTAGACCTCCTGTTGATGAGTGAATACAATGATCTTATCAAGATGTTGCACTTGGTTTTGGTTTTGTCAACGTGCTCCCTGAAAATCAGCTTGCTGTCTAGTGTTAGGCCTAGGTAGACTACCTCTTTTGACCATTCCGCCACCGTGCCGTTCAGGCAGATCTTATTATTCTCCGACGGAACAAGTCTGGGAGATTTAGATTGTGGAAAGATGATGACCTGGGTCTTTGCCGCGTAGATTCGGATTTTCCAGTTGTTGAAATATTCAGACAGGACGTCCAGGCCTCTCTGAAGTTTGGCAGTCAGAACTCCGATGACCCTACCCTTGTTGACGATGGATGTGTCATCTGCGAACAGAGACAACGATCCACCATTAGGGAGAGCCGGCATATCGGAGGTGAAGAGGTTGAATAGAATGGGGCCAAGGATGCTTTCTTGTGGAACCCCGGCACCGATGTTGAAATCATCCGATGTGATGGTATTCAGAGAGACTCGGAACGTCCTGTTCGATAGGTAGTTGTTAATTATCTTCACTAGGAAGATTGGAAGATCGTACTGCTGCAATTTGAACACCAGGCCATCATGCCAGACATTATCGAACGCTTTTTCAACGTCCAACAACGCCATGGCAGATGTTTTCGACATAGACTTGTTCCGTTTGAGAAAGTTTGTTACTCGAGTCAGCTGGTGAACGGTCGAACGACCTTTCCGAAAACCAAACTGTTCCTCGAGTAACAAGTTGTTTTCTTCAGCAGATGTTAGGAGCCGGTGCTAGACTGCTCTTTCGAACAGTTTTGATAACCCTGAGAGAAGGCTGATTGGTGGATAACTTGAAGGAGAGGACGGATCCTTCCCAGGTTTCCGGATGGGTATGACTTTAGCTGACTTCCAACACGAGGGGAAGTAGCCAAGTCTGAGACACAGATTAAAAATCAGTGCCAGATGGTTGTAGAATCTGGAACTCAAGTGTTCAAGTTCCAGATTCAGGATGTTGTCGAAACCTGGGGCCTTCATGTTTTTAGATGATTTGAACAGTTCGTCAACCGTAATCTCGGATTCCTCGGGTAAAATATTGGGAATCTGATGAAGATTGGTTGCCTCAGCTTCGTGAGGGCTGACGATTTTTGGTCGAGATTAGCCTACATCGGCCACCACCGGATAGTGGTCCGAACTCAGCTCTTGGTGGGTCACAGGTAGCGAGATGTTGTCTCCCATGTTGCTGATGAAGATGTCTATCGTGGAGTGAACGCCAGACCGGCTCAACCGGGTGGGAGAGTTTGGCGCTAGTATGGTGTAGCGAGTCTCTTGCAGGTTGTTGTGCCGTTTTGGTTGCATCGACTGTTGCCCCAGGCCTGGTGTTTGGCGTTGAGGTCACCCGCGATGATGAACTTTTCGCCGCGTCTAGTTAGTCTGATGATATCCCTCCGTAGGTCTGCTGCCGACCCGTCCCTGATGGTGACTTGCTTGGGGCAGTAGGTCGCAATAATGGTGATAGGGCCGACAGGAGTGGAGACTTCTACCCCTAAAGCTTCGATGATTTTCAGCTGGAAGCTCGGCAGAAGCCGACAGCAGATGTTTCTCCTTACAGCAATGCCCACTCCTCCTCCCCTGGAGCTGGTTCGATCAAGTCTTAGAAGCCGAAAGTCAGGAAGGTAGACGTTTACCTCCGGTTTCAGTTGGGTTTCAGTGATGACGGCAACGTCGATGTTACGTTCGTTGAGGAAGTGAACAAACTCGATGTTCTTGCTCTTGAGCGAGCAAGCGTTCCAGTTGGTGATCTTGATGGCTTCACGGTCCATAATTGTCGATGAAACGTGATGCAGCGACATTGTGAGAGAAATATTCCCATTTTTCCCGCTTCAGCAGCTCTTCGATGGCGTTGTAGTACTTCCTTGCTGGTACCATCAGCATGATGCCTTCAGTGCACATGCGCATGGTGCACTTCAAGCCTTGCTAGATGTAGAATTTGATGTTCTCCTGAAGCCCGGGCGGGAATCCCTTGACGAAGACGGGTGGTAGTTTCTCCTTTTTCTTTATTTCCGGTTCATCACCATTTTCGAGAATGGCGTACCGGTTGTTTGACAGCAGCTTTTTCGATGCCGACTGAGCGTTGGCGGTTTCCTGTCGGGGACGCTTCCCGGACGAGCTTGCAACCGCATGACCACGCGGCGGTTTTCCCATGCTGGGATCAATCGATGTTTCCCTTAACACCGCGGAAGAGAGACGCGAACACTATCGAACGAACAAATACTCTACAGAGAGAGAGAGCGGACAAAACCGGACTGGACTTCTTGACGATGAAGCAGAGAATCGGTTGCAGCTCACCGAGCTTAATATTTCCACCAAGGGAATCGAAACTGTAGACATTTTGATCAACACGGCGGAAGGGGAACTGTACTTGATAGCTGCTTACTTTCCTAAAGCGAGGAGACGCTGAAGCTGAACCCAATTTCGTCGAGATATTTCCACCACTATCACCAGAAGGGTTGAACCATTCTTTGTGAAAGGAGACCTGAATGCACGCCATCGCCACTGGAACTCCTCTCGAGCCAACAATTCCGGAACGTTACTCTTCCAGGAAGCGACTAGTCGTAGCTTTTACTCCATTTTCCGGACTCATTTACGTTCTGTCCCTACGATCGCGGGACATGAAAAAACCTGTCACGTTGAACGAGCTATCTTCGGATCATCTCCCAGTAGTGTTCAACGTGCTGATTGGATTCGTTATAAAACGAGAGATAAACGCATTGCTAGACCTGTTAGACCCGGCTATTTCCACCCTGCACAACGACCACTCTACTAGAGGTGGAAGCTGTCTCGATTCCTGAAGTCCAGCACCGCTCCTATCAGCCTGCGACCACTCGACGGTTGATAGCGCTGTGAAACAAACGTCGACGATAGTGGTACAGGAGGAGAAGGGACCCTATCTACCAGGGTACCACATACCCTACGAGCTTTGACTTTCAAGACATGATCGAAAGAAGTCATTGTTTACAAAAGCTGTTACGCCATAATTCCAGCTCTATCTTGATATGGGAACTGACATCCAATTGATGACCTTGACAAATGTCCAAAAAATACTGCTTTACAAATTTACGGTGGTCCTGAAAAGGACCGTTTTGTCGTGATGATTGAGTAATGCTGAGCTATTAGGGTGTTAAACACATATGAGGCTGGTGAGCTGTATGTTGTTTGGAATGAGGATGACGCGCTTGGCATAGATGTGGGCTGCAGCTTACTTTTTGCAGGCAGCCTTTCGTTGTGTACTAGAGAACAATGTTCAACGCCACGCGTCGAAAGCACTGCTGCTGCTGATGCCGACGACCGGACACCACCACACACGGTGATTGGACTGAATCCGATCAGCGGTTGAGGGCAGTCTTGATAGCTAGCTGCCACGCGGTGATTGAGACCGGATTGAATTCAACTTTGAAATCTGTGTTAGGGAAATCGCTTTTCGCAGGCAATCGATGATAATTTTAATTATCATAGCAACAATTGCACATTCGTGTAATTTTCAATAGTGCCATTTTGAAAAATGATAAAGTCTTTAATTTGCGCAGACATATTTCTGATCCATTGGTGATAAAATTATTGAAATTGGTCCAGGGGCAGCTGAGTTATTAACGTTCAAAATCTTTCATAATTTTGTTACATGTTCAATTTTCGGTTTTTACAAAATGTGTCCCCATATAGTAATCGAGTCTAAAATTACCAGTCCAGTGACAAGGTCTATACCAACATCAGCGCTTGACAGTAGGCAGCATGTTCCGGGCTCAAATAATTTATTTTGCTGTGCTGGGCCCGCCATCGCGGTATAACACGTTGCGCTAAGCGCCTGCCACTGGCACTGGGCTGAAAATTACAGATACTCGAGTACGATTTGCACCACAAAACCAAATTTGCCAAATCAATAACTTCAATTGAGCAAAACTGTGTTCTTGCGATTCTTCCGAAAAGAAAAGAATGCTAACAAAAAATCATCGCCCTTTTATAACATATATTACCCACGCTCCGACAGTAGTTCTAAACCCTATTTTTCCTTTTGCTGCAGCGCTTCTGAATAATAAAAAAACGACTATCATACACCTATAGCAAGCACTGAGTGGCGCGCACTAATTCTCGTTCTAACAATGTCATAAACACAGGAGGCGAGAGCCCAACAAAAAAGAGTTAATCTGTCATGGTACGATGACGGCTGTAATAAATGGGTTAAACATGAGCAATGGAAAAAAAATGGTAAAGGGGGAATCCGAACGCAATCTGGTCTGGTCCCGGTGCTGATGGTTCGACAATTTATTAGATAAGTGTTTTCACGCTAACAACGCCAAGAGGCGAGTAAGAGATGATAATGATTTCATCCGTCGTCGTCGCCGTCACCGTCACCGGGCACCGGGTTATTATCAAGTTAATATTTAATAAATTCGATACACCGGTGCGCATCCTTTGAACTTTTGTTCGGCTTTTTTTCATAGGGTTAGAGAAAGACAGTGCAACAGTGGGTGCTAATAGGGATCAATCAGTACTAGTGTGACGGTGGTAACAGCTGAAGGATTTCTTTCTTGGAAACAAGCAAGTCAATCGATTTTAAAATTATCATAACAAAATGCTATCAAATTTATTGGCATCTCTACTTAGAAATCTAGAACGTTTATCGCTTACGTGGACGACAGAGAAAAATAATTATTCTTGTTCTTTTTGGTAGCTCCTTTGAGATTCGGTTACTTATACATAGGTAAAATAATATATAAAAATTCTCGCTTCAATGTTGATTGCTTGAAGAAATAATTGAAGGCTCTAGAACATAGACGATGATTGCAAAAAAAAATCTAATGCTGATAACAAAAACCCAATCGCACAAAATCGTGAATTGTGTGCTGTCGAATTATTTGCATTGTGCACGTGGCATCTGAAATCTGAAGGTAAAATAATATTTACAATTGAGGAGAGATTAGCCTGCTACTCGTACATTTTACTTCTGCTCTGGTTATTGTGGTTTGATAATTGTTTCATTATTTTTAGTTTGGTTGGTAACCACTCACGAAAGCCAGTGTTTACCAACCGCGGAAAGTTTAAAAGGGTTAAAATGTTGTTCCGAAATTCTAGTCAAATCTTGCCGTTTCTTTTATGTAGCACATTCATACACTTATGTTTCAATATATGGGATTATGGGGAGTAGTAAAATCACACAGTTGCCACTAGTTTGCCTGTCCGTTACCTGCTCAGACTACAATTTATCGCCTCCACATGCCGGTCGCTCCGGTGCCGACACCGATTCCGGCACTGTTCCGACGCATTTGCTCGAACTCATCCTGCGTTGTGCGTTGATAGGATCGTTGCTTGTCTTCGAAATCCCTCAGTCGTTGATTGTAGCGATCCAGTTGCTCCCGCAAGATGGCGTCCTCTTGGGCGGCTCGCTTCTCGTCCAGCTCGAGACAACCGATGCCGTCCAGCCGTTCCATGTCCATCCAACCGCGGAACCGTACGCACACGCCATTCATGATGAAGTGCGACTTGATGTGAACCTGCAACAAGAAGAAGCAACAGCTGTCAGAATCTTGCATTCCTTGGAATAGTTTTCAAAACGGTGACACTTAATCTACAGTGATCGTGAGCTAAGCGCTTAACCCTAACGCCCGTTTGAGAAAGGGATCAACTTCGGAAGCCTTTAACATTTTAATAGCTGTATGTTTGACATTCTTAAAACATTTGTCAATCCGTCCCGACACCGATCTCGGACCGCCTCGGGAAACGATCCATTGGAAAGCGATCAGCCATAAGCAATGCAGTGTGCAAGGGGGAAGAGACTCGGGTTAACCCCCTACCATTGGAGAAATTTTACTTTTCAGAGCATTTGTGGCATTTATTCTCGTTTTGAATGAATGTACTGACTTTTAAAAATCTTTAACCACCCTTTGGGTGTGTTGATTTATTTCCTTTTAATTCCGTTATAATTGTTTATCTTTTGACAGATACGCGAATTTTCTCTACTATTTGCAGACTTCATCAGTGCCAAGTACGGCAACGTGCCGTACAGTTTAAAATTTGCCTCTACTCGAGCTTCTACTGTTCTGACACTGAGTAATATCAACCGGTGGAAACTAACGATTTTAAATTGGCTCACACTGGACTAGCCTATCGGTCCCAAGTACATCGAATAACGTACCCCATTCTAAGTCGAAATTCGAGTACTACACTATGTTTGTTTTGATTCGCAATGAAATTTTGACAGATAAAGTAAGGGGTTCGTGGATTTTCCTATGTTTCGAGGGGTGCATCGATTAGCTTGGGACCGAAGAGAGTACCAGAGCTGAGCCAAAAAGTTGAGCACGTCTCTTCGGGACCTTCTGGTCTTAGAGTAACCTCTATGGGCTGGTAATTGGCTGGACAATGCGTACCATTGATACCCCGCGTATCTGCAGGTATAAAATAGACCCCAATGTGGTCCTTAGCCTATTGTCCAGAAACTCCTATCCCTACCTGCCCGCGGTGCTGGCTGGGGTACGAGTAACCATAGACAAGATCGGGTAATCAACCCCGTTGGGACTTTGGTCGTATGCTGACAGGGAAGGGGGCTTCTCTATCTGGAGAGCGTAGTCTAACCGAGCGTCTGTTCTCTATTTTAGGGGCGGCTCAAAACGTTAGAAGCGGCTGATCACCGTCCTAGTGCCAGCTTGGGACTCTAAACAGAGCTGTGCACGATGGTGCTCCGGCGAGATGGGGTGCAGGCCCTACAAGCCCAATGACATTTATACAAGGTCTGGGCCAACAGGCAGCTTGCTGGTGTTAGAAACAAAAATGTTGTAAACATTGCTGAACATCTCCGAACAGATAGAAATACGTCACTGCCAACAGCTGTTTCGTGTAAAAAGATAAACATTGCAATAAAATACGAACACCACTAAACATTTGCACATTTCACTAACACCAATCAGCCCTTTGGCCCAGACCTTATATAAACGTCATTGCTACAAGCCAACCGTAAAAAAGTACAGGAAGCAAACAATGTAAATACAGACAGGAACAATCGGCATAGACCTAGGCAACGAATACGGACTAGCGATTGGAAACTCGAAACATAGAACTGCAAGTCTCTCAATTTCTTGGGAAGTAACCACATTCTTTCCGACTTATTGAGGGTCCGCATGTTCGACATTGTAGCGCTGCAGTAGGTTTGCTGGAATGGATCGTCGGTACATGATAGGTGAAACGCAAAAACGCGTGATTGGCTGGTGGCCAATCGACAAAAGAATGTGCAAGTTGAGGATCAAAGGCCGTTTCTTGAATGTTGGCATAATAAACGTGCATAGCCCTCACCTAGGAAGTAACGATGATGACAAAGATGCTTTTTACGCACAGCTGGAACTAGTATACGACAGTTGCCCAAACCATGACGTCAAAATCGTTATCGATGATCGAAGATCACCAGTTTACGAACGACAACGGCCTCAGACTCACAGATTTCACCACCTCAAAGAATATGGCCATACGTAGTACCTATGTTCAGCACAGCCTCCCATATCGGTACACCTGGACATCACCACATAATACAGAATCACAAATCGACCACGTTTTGATCGATGGAAGACCCTTCTCGGATATCATCGACGTCAGGATCTATCGTGGCGCAAACATCGATTCGGACCACTACCTTCAAGTTACCCGAAGTCGCAACTGACTACGCGCAACACCTTGACGCAGAGCTGCCGGATGAGGCAGATCTGACTGAAGCCCCTCTTGAAGACTGCTGGGATAGTGTCAAAGCAGCCATTAACAGAGCAGCAGAAGGAGTTATTGGGTTTGTGGAACGGAATCGACGAAACGATTGGTGTCAGACGATTCTAGACGAGAAGAATGCAGCGCGGGTGATGATGCTGCAGCATGGTACCCGTCAAAATGTAGAGCGATATAATCAGAATCAAAGACAGCAAACATCGTTCACAACAGACCCCCAAGTTCTACAAGAAACTCAACGGATCGCACAAAGATGAGCCGAAATATGTCGTGATAAAGGTGGAGGTATCTTGACGGCCGAACGTGAGGGGATCAAAAGGTGGAAGAAGCACTACGATGAACACTAGACTGATACAAAATTTGAAATTTTCGCTCCACAGTGCTCAAACGGTTCCAAATTGGGTCCTGCTTAGCCTCCCAAAATTTGAACTACTTTAGTAAAAAACTGACTTGGCACAAACCATTTCAAGTTTAAATGGGAATTACTATGGGAAAAATTATGTTTTTGTTTATATCTATCTAACAATTCACCACATCACTGTGCTTTTAAAAATCATAGCAGTGATTGTAGAAAATTTTCTCAGCTACAACTTTGTTAAAAACCACTTTTTAATCAAATGCACGGAACAAAAGTTATTAATGATTCAAGTCACTGATGTCTTATGATTATGCTCAATCAACTGTTCAGCAGGCAACATTGGTGTTTCTGGTGAGAAGAATAGAGCACATAGGAGCACATATATCATGGCTAGTATGTCACACTGCAGAATACAGTGTTGCTAACAGAACAGCTGCTTGATCATGCCATAAGATTATCAATCTCTTAAACAATTAATAACTATTTCATTTGCCATTTGGCTGAAAAACGATGTTCTGCAAAGTTGTAGCTAAGAATAGTTATAGAACTTTTCGAAAAATTAATATGGAAAATGGGTAGAAGACAATGAACAAAAAGTTTGGTTTTCCCATAGTAATATCCATATAAACTTCGAATGATTTGTGCCAAGTCAGTTTCTTCATTCCGTCTCGCACGCTGAGCCGGTCAAGTCGCATCGGTCTCGTTGTACGACACTAGTTTTTGAGTTTTTGAGTTTTTCCCCACGCGAGGGTTTTTTCTCGCCAAAGTTAGTTGGCATAGTGTTAAAACAACTAGTGCGCGAGTGAGGAAGCCGTTAGTCATACGCCGAGCGCTTTGATTACGGTCCATCTTTAACATCAACATCTGTAAAATCATCACCACTATCGGCCCATTGATAGCAACAACGAAAGCACGTTAAATTGCCTACCGAGGCGAAAGAGGCATACCAGCTGCAAGGCTATCGACCCAACAGCCGTTGGGGAATACAATAGCATCGCACCAGTCATCCGCCGCCTCAGTGCAATAGGTATACCGTGTCGCTTTGTTTTCACCAGTATCGCATCTTCCCGCATGGTCCAGTATTAGATTAGGCTGGGTCATAATTAGGGTGATCCAAAATCTTGTAAATAGTATATATCTATATTTTTTTTTTTCTTTCTTGATTTTTTTTTTCTCGTACTATTTTTAAGTAGAGTATAGTTAGGGTGATCCAAATTTTTTTTTTCAGAATATATATCCGGAGTGATTTGAGATTTGGGCGTTATTGCATTTGTAAACAAACACATCAATCACCGATTTCTCGCGAATAAAAGCTCAATCTCGAAAAGCAATAACACTATGAGGTAGAGGAATAATTCCTCTATCATTTGGTATAGTTTGTTTGTGAGATTGAGCTTTTATTCAAGAGAAATCAGTAATTGACCTGTTTGTTTACAAAAGCAATTACGCCCAAATCTCAAATCACTCCGGATATATTTTTTTTTCTATTTTTTTTTCTTGGTTTTTTTTTTTTTGTTTCTTTCATATTACTCTTTAGTAGAGTAAAACTATATCATTTTTTTTTTTTATTTTTGCATTTTTGTTTTTCTATTTTTGATATTATTTGAAATTACTGTAATTATTTGTAAAATATTTACCAAAAACACCATTGCGGCGATATTTAACCGCAATGGATGAAAATGATAAAGGCGGGGGATGGTCGCTTGCCATCTCAGACGACGAAACTCTTAATTCCACCTCACACGAAAGTCTCGAGGAAGTTGTGGAAATGGAAACCCTTGACGTTCCAGTTGACTCGCTCTCCAGCAAAAATACTGGAGCATATCCCAAGAAAAGATATCGCCCACAACCCTCTCCCCCACCATCTCCTCCTCGTCCACCTGCACCCCCCACACCATTGCCCCCGAAAACCTCTGCGCTCCCCCGCCTAAAGGCTTACCCAGAAGCCTCGAAAGGCCCATGGGTTGTTTTTTTCCGGCCCAAACAAAAACCTTTGAACATTCCGAGGATCTCTAAGGATCTAACAACACATTTTTCGGCCGTTACCGATATTTTCAAGGTAACACCAATAAAACTGCGCGTTACCGTTGATGACCGGAAGCAGGCTAACCAAATTGTTGCGTGCGAGCTTTTTTCATTGGAATACCGAGTCTACATACCCAGTAGTGAGGTAGAAATTGAAGGAGTGGTCACCGAAGCGAGTTTGACTAGTGATGATTTCTTGGGTCCCGATTCCTTCGGAATCTTTAAAAACCGTGCCCTGCCGAAGGTGAAGATATTGGACTGCCTTCAAATGCAGTCAGTATCCGTAGTAGGCTCCAAAAAAACGTATTCCTTGTCAAACTCGTTTCGTGTGACCTTTTCGGGTTCAGCGTTACCTCACTACGTCGCTATTGGCAAGGTTCGGCTGCCTGTACGTCTGTTTGTACCTCG